TCGTGCCAACTCACTTTGCTCTGAAGCGGAAGTTGGGCCGCGCGCGGCAGGCAAGGAAGAGACGACGAATCTAGAGCCAGTTCAACTCTAAAACTGTGATGAAGCTTGTTTGGATGGTGGAGGCTTTTGCTGACGAGAAGAGCGGAGAGTGGAATTAGCGTAGCCTGTGCGATGGGGAAGAACTGGAGAAGCGCATTTCCCCAGTGTCACTAGATGCAAGGAGACGCTTCTCCACGTGCGGGGAGACGCCGGTTTACCCGGGGGCTGGGTAGTCTGGGCCTTGGAAACCCAACATTGGTAGCTTTTGTGACGGAGGAGCTGGAAATCGATCTCCCAAGAGAATGGAAGGTCGTTATTGAGCGCCGGGTTGTTGAGTAATCGTATCCCTACGGATATCTACACAACTCGAGAGAAGTGTGATATGCGTGTTTCGAGAGCTTCAGAGACCACTGTACGGGTGTTCCCTCGTTGTTTCTCTTGCGGATCCATTCAAATTGCCTCTGTGAAAAAGTTTGATGTTTCAAGAGTCAGGACTCTGAACAAAACACGCAAAAATCCGCTGACAGAGGTCCTCAGATCGTCCGAGTCGCGCGGCGGCCCGACAAGCAACACCCATGTATCTGATGTTGCCTCTTTCGTTGCAACCATTTGCGGGAGTCCCTGTAGATCTGACCCTCTCGAACTCCTCGACACTGACAGTTCTCTACTACGGAATCAATTTGTTTCCTTTTGCTGATTTCTTGCTTATGGATCCTACCTGCATACGCGTCCAGATGGCCTTTACTCCCCTTAATATCGGAAAACGAATGACGCTCAGAGCGGCCTGCCAAAACGAGACGTGTGAGAGGGCTATACCTGCGGCATTATCCTCGGCGTCATCTAATCTTTTTTTCCATCTACGACGTTGCACACATGACACCTTGGCATTCCCCAAATGGACACTTTTGGATTTCTTTCAACCACGGATCATGAGGTTTTAGACATAACCCGTGCTGGCTTCCCGAAGATTTAGTGCAGAGGGGTATTTGGGGTTTCGGCACGCTGCGTGACTTAGCTGCATGATGTTTTGCGCCCCCAAGAGGGGGGAGTTGAGCCGTGAGGAACGCAAAGTCCGACTGACTCGGAAAACCCGGCCTCCATGTCATGTCCCTTCAACAATCTCTTCCATCTGGGGACCCGCCGACCGAAGCCAAGTCGGCGCAGCCGTCGATCATCACTTCAAAGCCGTAGCGATAGAGTACTGACTGAGGCACTTTGTCTCTTTCGGTCCGTTGATACAAGGGCTATCGCAGACTTTACACCGCGGAAGATTCCGCCTGCTTGTCAGTCATCCGATCGAGAGAAGAATTTGACGCTTTGATCACCGCTCCGGGCACCACTGTAACGCTCCGTATGGAGACGCAACTGGAGCAGAGTAGTCGTTGATATCCAGTGCACTACAACAGTAGTCAAGAGATAATCCGTAATAATGCCGCCTACAAATCCGCTGTGTTATGTCCGTAGGGATGACCTCCGACTAGATCTCGGACCCGACGACGCGGAGCTAAAGGGTGTGTTAGTACTAATCATAGGGCCGGCCGGCAACCATGATGCCGGGTTTCCGCCTTCTATTAGCGCACCCACACAAGCAGGTGGATTGATCGAGCGCTGCGGTCGTAGTCGCTGTCTCTCCCTTCAACCTGACGTCTTGAAGCACCCTTCATCTACCAGCAAAACCACTAACACACGTTAAAGAGAGTACTAAATGTGTCATTTGAATGATGCTCTCAGCAGCCAATGTAGCGGTCCGAAAGACAATCCGCGCGAAGGTTTCGGACCGAGCCCCAGCTCCGTAGTAGTTTTCTTCATCGACTCATTCGCTTCCATGCCACAGAGAAGTCTATGTACTCCCTAGCACCTCGTGCTCTTCACAATGAGAATCGCGGCGAAAATATTGGGCGACAGGTTAAGTAGGTACTTTGAGCCAGCTCACCTTTGGAGTCAGAGTAGCAGTCGGATTGAACGAGAAGGTTTATTCAAACTCATAGTGAATAGGTCAAATTTAAAGAATTTTTGAATCTCGGCTCTAAAGACTGAGCCTTAGTTCGTGAACCCTCACCTGTACTGGGGATAGTTTTCCGCAAGCCACTTCTGAGATAGTGTCAGACCCAGTTCCGATCACCACATCATGGATACGAACGTATCAACTACACCAGCCAGCTGGGCAGAGTTTGCAAGCCTAAAGCTATCCTCATCGCTTCCTGCGTCCAACCCCAGCCTCTATTGGCTAGCCTTACTCGTACTAGCTTCAGTCATCGCAGCACCTCTTCGACACAAGTTCCAAGATGTCGAGATCTACCCAGTCATCAACAAGACTAAGGAGGAATACCTGACAGGCGGGAGAGCCCTCCTTGCCAAGGGAGCCAAGAAATACGGCGGCAAGCCATTCAGAGTCTTCACCGGCCAGGGCAGCACCCTCACGGTTCTGGCGCCTGAGTTCTGCCACGATGTGAAGAATGATAACCGCTTGAGCTCGACCGAGTTCCTCCTGGCCTACTGGCAGGCCGGGACACCGGGGTTCGAGCCTTACTTTAGCTCGGGAAGCGAGCTCATCCGTGAGATGATCCGAACTCATCTCACTCAGAGTGATGTTGGTGAGTCTTTGGAACCCGGCCGGTCTCACAACTTGCTCATCTAGGCCGCGTAGCCAAATTATCACAACCGCTCGCAGACGAGGCAGCCAACGCTCTGAAAGACGTCTTCACGGATAACGAAGGTACATCTAACCAATCATCTCATACCCTTACTTGAAATACTTATGTCCTCTCTAACACCATCTCAGAATGGCACGAAATCACTCTCGCCCCGACAATCGCCCAAATCGTCGCCCGCGTCTCTGCCCTAGTCTTCCTCGGCCCCGAACTCTGCCGGGACCCAACCTGGCTCACTATCACCATAAACTACCCCCAAAAAGCCATGGCCGCCGCCAAAGTCCTCCGCTCCTACCCGGCCCCCGTCCGCCGCTTCGTCCACTGGTTCCTCCCCTGCTGCCGCGAGCTGCGCCAGATGCTCCGCACCGCGCGGCAGGCTATCGAGCCAATCCTGCAGAAGCGCCGCGAGCAGGAGGCCGAGAAGGGTGGGGTCGTGTTTGATAACGCGTTGGCGTGGATCGAGAAGCTGGCGAAGAAGCAGCAAGATCGGACGGCGCAGAATGCGGCGTTTCAGCAGCTTGGGTTGTCGATTCTTGCGAATGCTTCGAGTACAGATATGGTGTCGCAGAATTTGCTGGATTTGTGTGTGAATCCGGAGGTGACGGAGGCGTTGAGGGGGGAGATTGTGAGGGAGACGAGGGGTGGGTGGAAGAGCTCGACGTTGTATAATCTGAGGCTTTTGGACAGTGTGCTGAAGGAGACGTTGCGTCTCAAGCCCATTGCGTCGGGTCAGCTACTTTCATCGACTACGCATTGTGTCATTGCTAACTTGCAAATAGTGGCTCTTGGGAGGCGCGTGATGGAAGATGGCGTGAAACTGAGTGACGGCACCGTGCTGCCCAAGACGACCGGCGTTGCCGTATCATCCGCGAACATGTGGGATCCGGTAAGACATTCCATCTCTTTTCAGTGGTCCATGCCGACCAGATCGCTAACTTCCTGAACACAGGAGATCTATCCAAACCCAGAAACCTTTGACGGCCGACGCTTCCTCCGGATGCGCGAGGGCGGCAACAACGAGCACAACGCGCAGCTCGCGAGCGTGTCGCCGGAGCACATGGGCTTCGGGCTCGGCTCGCACGCGTGCCCAGGTCGGTTCTTTGGCGCGAGCTCTGCGAAGCTGATCATGTCGCACATCTTGCTCGGGTACGAGTTCAAGCTGGCGGATGATGTGGACAAGAGTAGTGTTGAGCCTATGCGTTTTGGGTTCTCTACTCTGGCGAATCCTAGGGCCAAGGTCCTGATCAGGCGTCGCAAGGATGTTGTCTGAGGCACGAAGGGAGACTTTATTGAGGCTTGCGTGCTGCGGATCTCTGGTGTAAAAGGAAAGACAATACGGCCAGGCGACAAGGCTGTTGGAGCTACCGCCTTGTTGAGGTGACCCGGTCAAAAGCCTCGTCCTAAAGCAATCATGTCATGAGACTAGTGCAGACAATTAATCGCCTGAAAATCAGGAATAGCCCAGAATGATTTCAGAAGCTACTTCGAACGAGAAGCGTGTGCGATATCGAGAAATCCGAGACATCGGCTCGACGGGCAGCAATGCGAGACCGAGAAATTTCTCGTCAATAAGCTTCGCTTTTGGGTAGCACTAATACCACGTAGCCAAGCAAGATATCTTGTTTCCCGAATTGATCGCGGAGCCTCTGAGCAGTCAAACTACCAAGAACGGGAATCTCCGTCCAAGCGATTGGCGGAAGAAGTTTCCGCGCTGAGGACTGCATGGCGGGGTTGGCTCGAGAAGCTCAACCATCATCGGAGGGGGTAACTTTTGCTGCTCGTTCTCGATACTTCTTAATCTTGAACCCGATTTCAAGCTGGAATTCGCAGCCGTCTTTCCTAGGATGCTTCCCGCAGATACCTCCGAATAGAGTTGACTGTATTTGGGAACTGAGGCCCGCTGCCCGTGATGGAGGGGCAGAGAGCAGCCGCATCTCGCCTTGAGCACACACACGTTCTCCATAGGTGAGGGATGGTTAACGGAAGGATAGGGCAGGTCTGCAGGAACAGGGACAGAAGCTTAGTAGCTGGGACTGTACATCGATGAAGCACTCGACGTGGAAAGAATGGTACGGATGCGGCCGAGAAGTGGCGGGGGATGTGCAAGCCTGATCGACGCGATGTCACTTGGCTCACGGATACGGAGGCTTACGATCCGGGGCACTCATTGAAGCAGGCCATGCCTGCAGAAAACCTGCAGGACAGGACTCGGCGAAGAGATAGATAAATTCTCAAAAGAAGCCTCGTCACGGACCCTTCAAAGGAGACTATTCGTGGTTCACCCGCTCGCCCCATCAACCCATCGCCGAGATGAAGTCCATCCTAGGCATGGCCCTCTGGGTCCTAACCCTTCTCAACATCGCCCTCGGCGCCGAAGTCGTCCCCCGCGCAACCTTCACCGAGGTGACGGACTACGGCTCGAACCCGACAGGCACGCGCATGTGGCTCTACGTGCCGCAGAATCTCGCCGCCAAGCCCGCCATCGTCGTGGGCATCCACTGGTGCAGCGGCAGCGCGCAGGCATACTACCAGGGCAGCCAGTGGGCGCGGTACGCCGAGACGTACGGGTATATCGTGATCTACCCGCAGACGCCGTACACGCGCGACAACTGCTGGGACGTGGCGAGCAAGATGACGCTGACGCACGGCGGGGGCGGCGCGAGTAACTCCATTGCGAATATGGTGAGCTTTGTGATTGCGCAGTATGGGGCGGATAAGAGCAAGGTGTATGCGACTGGTATCTCGTCTGGTGCCATGATGACGGTATGTTTTGACTTTTGCTCACCATCTCACGTCCTCTCCTTGCCAAGTATGCTGATAGGTGGTCTTTGGTAAACTTGAAGAACGTACTGGCGGCGACATATCCCGACGTCTTCGCAGCCGGCATCGCCTACGCGGGCGTTCCGGCCGGCTGCTTCATGTCCGCGGACGACATCCCCGACTTTTGGAACTCGACGTGCTCGACGGGCCAGTCCATCTGGACGCAGCAGCAGTGGGCCAACGTCGTGAACAACATGTACCCGGGGTACACGGGGGCGCGGCCCAAGATGCAGATTTATCACGGCGCGGCGGACGAAACGTTGAACGTGCAGAACTACTACGAGACGATCAAGCAGTGGACGGGTGTGCTTGGGTACTCTGCGACGCCGCAGTCGTCAGTGGCAAACTTCCCCAGGAGCCCGTATACCAAGTACGTGTTTGGGGATAAGTTGCAGGTGAGTCTTGATGCTCTAATCACTGGTTGAGACAACATGTTGATCTTTAATTTGGAAGACGTTCCTGGGTACGGGCGTGACCCATTCGATTGATGTGTTTCCGGAAGAAGACCTCAAGTGGTTCGGTTTCGTGGTAAGTCTGGACAGGATTGGAGTTCCGGTGTAGACAAGCTGACTGCTGACTGCTGCTCTAGACGCCGGTGAGCTCATCAGCTGCTGCGACGGTTCCTGCGACGACGAGCCGCGCATCTACGACGCTGCGAACCTCCACGGCGGCAGCGACAACGACCACGGCAGCCGGAGGATCCGGGACGGCACCTCAGTGGGGACAGTGCGGCGGGATTAACTGGACGGGACCGACTGCGGTATGTTGCCGCGGTGTGATGAGGAGACTGAGCTGGGTGCTGACATTATTGGGGTAGTGCGCGAGTTCGTTCACGTGTGTCAAGGTCAATGACTGTGAGTGCCGATGATGCTTCTGTGAGTCTGATTGAGTGTGCTAATGGGTGTGAAGGGTACTCGCAGTGCCAGTAGTTGCGCGGAGTGATCATGACAGTCGAGTTGATGATTGAGCTGAGCATCACCAGGAAAGGATCATGGAGGTCCGGTCGAGATGCAGATTGACGAGGATGAGGAATGTTGGTGAACAACAAAGATTTCCCTGTTTTCAGTGTCGAGGCCCAGGTCTAGACTTCTAGAAGACAGACGAGAAGGGAAGCAATAAACATTCAGCTGGCCTTGGTTGTCCTTCATGGTACTGCTCGCAGGCGCATGGTGCGTGTTTTCCTGGATTGATGGTGAGGTTATGAGGATGGAATGCGACGAGGTCTGCAAGCGGCCGTGCAGCAGCGAGCGTCGGCCATCTTATGATGGTGTCGCTTTGAAAGGGCGATTGAGGGTCTAGGTAGTCCAGGTCTCAGATTTGGGGGAGAAACCCTTTCCGCGAAACATGAGCATTCCAGCGGTAAAAAGCAAACATGTGTCTCGGCAGAGGGGGACCGCGATGAGGTCTTGATCTCACAGTCTCACTTGAGACTGACGGAATGAGACAGTGGCCGATGAGTGAAGAAGTGCTCTGAATGACACCATTTGATGTTTCATGCAATCGGTCGGCGGGTGAGTGAGTGAGCAAAGGAGGACCGTGGCAGGTGACTGAGTGAATAAGTGAGTGAGTGAGGCTATTCCCGGCAGTTCGTGATCCATCAAAACAAATCCACGTGGGTCATTGAGAGGCGACCATTTGGTCATCATATTGTTGGATGGCATGGACCACGTGATGCTAGCCGCTGGTCAGCATCGGACAAGACCCGATCGTTGCTCGGGCATTGGGTTGGGTTGGGATCTTTTTTTGAATTTCGCTCCGGCAAGCCTGCAGGCCTCGACTTTTCTCATTTTTTTAGTCTCTTTTTCAAGGGTCCGTCGGGTGGCGTCATTGGCGGCCCCGCTGGAAGATTTGGTGTGAGAACCTGGAAAGTGAGTGAGAGTGAGCCACGGAGTGAATCTCATAATGAAGAACAAGAGTGACATTGACACACACAACTTCAGAGGAATGCATTTCCAATGCCCGGAATAGCAAGTGTCATGTAAAAGACATGTCTGGGACAGATCCATGATGACGAGCAATCTACTGCAGACCGAGACAGGTCTGTGAAGGGTAACGTGATCTCGTGTCTCTCCCCTGGGCCCTGTCTGAGCTTGGTGTCTCACCCCACAAGGACCGTGAGGGAAGTCGGAGCGTCGAACTCTTTTCTTCAGTCCTGTCATCACTCATTCGCGACTTGCAGAGTCCAATGTGATTCTCTCACCGCCATAAGCTGGCGGCAATTCCTCTTGTCCGGGGGCCCAGCATTGACCGTTTACATCTCCACTGAGAGGCAAGTTTGTGTGGTGCGTGGCAGGGTGAACAGTTGGTCAAGCTAGGCGCCCCTCCTCTGGCTCCTCTGGTGGCCATTGGTGCTGTTCTCGCGGCCCCAGAAGTCGCGCTTGTTCCTGCGGACTGACGTATCGCCTTCTCACGATCCTTGGTCTCAAGGGTGAGTGTGGAGAGTGAGACAGAGCAGAGAAAGTGAGAGTGAGAGAGGCAGTAAACCCCATGCGGCATAGCTCCTCCTCGTCTGCATCTGCAGTACTTTCGAACGGGGTCTTTCCTGTGTTCCCGCTCTTCTCTCGTTGGCTCCTTTTCTTTTCCACTTTGTCTCTTCCCCCACCCCCGCGATAGACGTCGACTTTACACAACTTCTTCTCTCCACCATCATCGGACCTTTTTTGCCCAGTCATCCCATCCATCACAAGTATTATTCTATTTCTTTTTTCAACTGTGTACTCGGCTACCCATGCATGAATCCGCAGTGGGGTCCGCAAGCGGCTCGAGCTTCACCAAGTCAAGTGTCCACACTAAACATTGACCGACCTTGAAAAACAAACGTTGAAGCTTTTCATACCACTGTTTAACTCCATCGTTTTGCATTACTAGAGGATTGCCGCAGTATATATAGACGCTACCCTGCCCTCGAATTCCGCACTATTTAACCTTAACCCTTTTTATAAGTCTCCTATTTTTTCCTCTATTCTACCCTCTCCCTCGTTAAGGGATTATTAAAATCGTAGTTTTAATAGCTTATTAATAAGCTAGTATTATTATTTAAAAATAAGTAACCTACTCTTATATATAAGCGCTAGGAGTTTTACTATTACGGAGATAATAATAGATATATTAAAGTATTTAAAAAAGCTTTTTAATAGATTTCTAATACTATTTAAAGTAATTATTTTCGAGCTATAAAAAGAAGCTAGGGTATTATATTAATACGGCCCTATTTATTTTATTAATATTAATAATACCCTTTTTAATATAGGATATATTAATAATACTCTATAGCCGCGTTATTATATTTTATAAATTATATTTAACGATAATAAGGATTTTAATATTTTTTTTTAAGTTTTTTATTAAGGTTATTATTATAGGGTTAGTTTAGTTATTAATATCTTAGTAAGTATTTTAATTTAGTATATTTAGAAGCTCTTATAGCTCTTAATAAGAGGCTTTTAAAGGATTTATAATTAAATTTTTTACTTATTATAAGCAAAGCTATTATAGTTAAAGTTATAATAATTAAAGCTATAATACTATTTATAAACTTTAATAATAAGTAGTTAGTAATATAGTTATTTTTCTTTTATAATAAGTTTAAAAAAGTATTTTAATTTAAGTACTAAGTAGGTATTATATTATTTTATTAAAACTGTATTCTTGTACTTGTGACTTAGAAAGAATTAACTTTTTTCGATAACAAGGTACTCAGAAGCTTTTCATACTTTCTTCCCATCCGCTCTAATTCCCAATTCCCCACGATCCCATGACTAGAGCTGCGACCGCATCCTCGTAGTCCGCGAGCCCAAACATCCAAACTTGAACCGAGGCAACCCTTCCTCAGAGTTCGGCTCTCTCTCTCTTCACCTCTTCTGCATCTTTCTTCATCGTTTCTATTGCATCTTTGCATGGCCCGGGGATGCTCACAAGCATAGACTTGACCTCCAATTTCTCTTAGTCCCCAGCATCCGTCGTGGTTGTTTACCCCAAATCCTTCCACCACTCAATAGCATCACCACGACATCATCATAGACACCACCTCTGATCAGCATCCCCAAAAACATCCACCGCCATGTCCGACACACCCTCGTCCACAGAGGACCGCCTGCGCAGTGCCGTAATCGCGAATCACCTCCCCTCGGGATACGGCACAAGCTTCGACGGCACACGAAACCTCTCCAACGGTGACCTCGCTCACATAAACTCCAATTCCGCCCCGAACCTCCCCGCCACCGAAAATGACGACGGCGACAACGTCGAGGAGGCATCCTCCCTCCTTCTCCCCGGCGGAGACATGCATCGCGACCTCTTCAAGATTTCGGCTAGGGAACAAACCTTGAAGCGCGCCCAGACTTTCTCCCACCCGCGCCGCACCGAGTCCGGGCACGAGTCCGACCTGCCCGCCGCCGAGATGCTTCTGCCCCAGGGCTTCCGTCGCCAGTTTGTCATGCAAAAACACAACTATACTGCCGCCACACTCCCCATTACCCGCAACTTTGTAGAGTTCCTCGACTTCTACGGCTCCTTCGCCGGTGAAGATCTTGCCGATTCAGACGAGGAGGCCATTGTCTCGGACGACGAGGATGAAGAGGAGGCCCAAGACAGACCCCGCGGTGCACCTACCGAGACCCGTCCGCTGCTGGGAAGACGGCGGTCCTCGCGCTTCGCCAAGAAGGCCGGCGATGCCAGCACCACAAAGACCTTCTTCACAACCCTCAAGGCCTTCATTGGCACGGGCATTATGTTCTTGCCCAAGGCCTTCAAGAACGGCGGCATCCTCTTCTCCTCTCTGACCATGCTCGTCGTGGCCGCAATCTCCATGGTGGCCTTCCACCTGCTCCTGCAGTGCCGCACCCGCTACGGCGGTGGTTACGGTGACCTGGGCAAGGAGATCTCGGGCCCGCGCATGCGCTCCCTCATCTTGGCGTCTATCACTCTGTCCCAGATTGGCTTCGTTTGCACGGGTCTCGTGTTTGTGGCCGACAACTGGTTCTCCTTCTTGAAGGCAGTAACGGGCGGCGCGAATCCCCTCGACTCAACCGCCCTCATTGCTCTGCAGGCCATTGTCATTGTGCCCCTCGCCTTCATTCGCAACATTTCCAAGCTCGGTCCAGCTGCCCTCCTCGCCGACGTCTTCATCATTATCGGCGTAGGATACATCTGGTGGTACGATATCTCGGCCCTCGCCACACGCGGCATGGACCCCTCCGTCAAGCTCTTCAACCCGAGCTCCTACACCCTCACTATCGGTGCCTCCATCTTCACGTTCGAGGGCATCGGCCTCATCATTCCCATCCAGGCCAGCATGAAGAAGCCCGAGCACTTTGAGCCCCTGTTGGCGGGCGTCATGCTCCTCATCACCTGCGTCTTCACCTCGGTCGGCGCCCTCTGCTACGCGACGTTCGGAGACCGCACAAAGATTGAAATCATCGACAACTACCCGCAAGATAGCCGCCTCGTCAACGCCGTGCAGTTCATGTACGCCCTCGCTGTCCTCGTCGGCAACCCCGTCCAGCTCTTCCCCGCCATGCGTATCATCGAGACCAAGATCTTTGGCTACCGCTCAGGCAAGAAGGATCTCCTGACAAAGTGGAAGAAGAACGCCTTCCGCACCTCCCTCGTCGCCCTCTGCATCGCCATCTCCATTGCCGGCTCCGCCAACCTCGACCGCTTTGTCGCCCTCATTGGATCATTTGCGTGCGTGCCTCTCGTCTACATTTACCCGCCTTACCTGCATCTCAAGGGCATCGCCGAGACGAGAAACCAAAAGATTTGCGATTACGCCCTCATGGCCCTTGGCCTTGTCGGCATGGTGTACACCACCGCTATCACCGTGGCCACCAGCTTCCTGTAGAAAGCGTAGAGCCCGAGAGCTCAGAGTCACAAGATTTGTAAAGACTTGAAAGACTTGAGAAGAGACTTGTTAGAGTAAAAAAAGCAGACAATGCCGTAGCGTTTGAGCTTGTATATGTGTATGTTTACGACCGGAAAAGAAAATTAATACAGCGTAGAATTCATCTTCATTCATCTTTTTCGTCTACCTTATGCAATGCGTGATGCACCCGATGCTTCTCAACGCCGATAATCAATCCTCCCGCCACCGAATAGACCAATCCCCCTTTGCAAAGCTAGGCTCAACAACCTTGCCCTGTCTAACAGCCTCACACTTCTTCCTCTCCTCGCCATCCCCAACCAGAAACCCAAACACAACCCCCCTCCTAGCAGCACACCTCACCATCTCCCTCTCGTGAGCCTTCCTCTGCCCCTCAGCCCTCTTCTCCCTCATCTCCTCCGTCTCCTCAACCCTCTCCGCCCGCCCCTTCTCCCCGCCCACGCTCCCATTCACCTGGCTCTGCGTCTGCGGAGGCCTCACCCTCGTCCCGCTGCGCACAGAGAGGCTCGCCTGCACGCTAGGATCCAGCTCTGTGGATTTGGTGCGGTCTACGCCTAGCATCTCGTCGATTATGTCCTCGCCTGCGTCTTCGTCGTAGGAGCGGCGTTCGCAGAGGGAGATGCCCTCGTCTTCGTTGTCAGAGGAGGAGGATTTGGTAGTGATGACGCGCGAGGCGCGGTTTTTGCCCCGGCCGTAGATTTGGTCGGGGCCTTTGCGCTCGCCGAAGAAGGTTTCTTCGACGACGTCGCAGGGGACGAGGATCCGGGTGTCGCCCTTTGTTTTCTTGGGTTTTGTTTTCGCCTCGGCTTGGATTTCTTCCTCGCCTTGGAGGAACCGGACGAATACTTGTTCGATTTCCTTGTCTAGACGGCTTGGTTTCTTTGCGCGGCAGCGGGAGGAGCAGTATTTCGCCTCGACGGGGGGTTTTTGGGTCTCGGAGGCTTTGTCCTTGTTGGAGTTTGACTTGGAGAATGTGTTTGTGGCTGCGGTCTTGCGGCTGGAGATGACGCGGCCGCAGGTGCGGCAGTAGGGCGTTTGGTCGCCGTTGGGGAGGAGGTAGAAGGGTGCTGGCGTGGCTTGGGATTTGCCTGGTCGGGACCAGGAGTCCATCCAGCTCATTGTTGTGGTGTGGAGGGGTGTTTGTTGCGGGAGTTGATGACTGTGGTTGAGGGGCGGGAGGATGGGAGTCGTGGAGATGATGGGAGCTCGGTGGGTGAGTCGAAGGCCGATGTTGAGCTGTCGTGGTCGAGGTAGCATCTAGAGGAGAATCTTGAGGACAGCGATGGTGTTTTGGAGCAAATGGACAAAGGGAAGGGAGCGAGTTTGGGGCTCGGAGGTTGTTGACCAGTGAGCTACGTCATCGATGTCATTCCCCCATTGACCAATCATCGTCTCTCATTTAAGCGTCAGTCACGAAGCCACAACATGAGACCTCAGCTTCGTCATAAGCAGACAGATTAAATGGAAGCTTGGGAATAGTGTTGAAATGTAAGATAGTTTCCAATTCTCTGGAGTGATTTGAATGGAGAAAAGTCGCATTAACCTCAATACATATAGTTCTTATTGTTGCATGCTGCTTACAAGCTGCTAACATAAATGATAAGTGCTCAAGTTATAAGAAGAAGATTCCTCATAGCGTCGCCTTCATGGATCCATTTGCCCCATATCGTTGACCATGGTGCCGTTCTGGATTGAGGCAATGTAGCTCTCATGTCTCTAGAGGAAGCATGCATGTGGATGCCCTCATCTATGAATGAGTAAGCCACATAGCATCTATGCCTGGGTATTTGTGTTGAGGTAAAATCGACAGATAATCATCATACTCATAGCTTCCCATCATTATTCCTCAAATGAAACAATCGTTCTATAGTACTAGGTGTACTTCGTTCTTTCCTAAAGTACAATCACAGGCTCCGTAGATACGCCGGTGGGAAGCTCAACCGCCCCTTCCTGCTCTATCATGAGGCCCTCCTTCCTCTTGTGCACCACCTCACCCCCTTCCTTAGACGAAATTTCATCGCGCTTCATAGCAGTCCCTTCCCTCACTTCGTCCGTTCTGCTCCTTCCGTCGGGTCTTTCAGACGGTCGTTCATCACGTGAGGGCGGTTGAACGACCCTTTGAGATCTTCCGGTCCTTCCTCCTAATATAAGAGGCCAGCCTCCACTTTCTCCCCGACTTCACCCACCCTTCCTTTCTTCTTTCCTCTTCACCCCGACTCAGGTCCTTGACCTTGAGCTCAAAGTAGTTCCCCTCCCACTACCCCGAACAGCTTCTGGAGCCACCATCGGGGGAGTTCTTTCACTATTTCCATTCCTTGTTCGAATCCTCCGTCCAATTCAACACGAAGCAGACTGGTAAGTCTTCATCTGCGTTCTCCCCATTCGTCCGAGCAGTCGCTAACGCCATCGCAAGGTTACTCTTTGGACGGAAGGACTCGGGACCTTCAGCAGCGTCTCATGACTCCTTCCACTCATTCCGAGGTGTCTTCATGAACGCTTCAATGTCTTCTTGAACGCTTTGAGTCCGGCACCAAGAGAATTGTATGTGGTTATCCCCTCGTCCTTTCCTTCGTCTGAGAAAGTACTGATTGCCATCGCAAGTCGTGTCGTCAGACGGAAGAAATTTGCACCTCCCCTTCACACCACTCAACAGTCTTTGTGAAACAGTTTCTTTTCTTCACTTTCATTGTTCGAACACTTGTTCACCTCGAGAACACCAAGTCAGCCGTAAGTACCTCATCGTCCGTCCTTTATCATCCTCGTCTGAGCAATTGCTTACTCCATCGAAAGTCTTGATGTTGGACGGCAGAGCTCAACAACCCCGAGTTGCTTGCTTAATACATGCTTCATAACTTGGACCTGGCTCCAAACATTCATTGCCTGTCTACCAGAGGTACCGACAGCCAACAATAGCTTCATTCAGCGCTGGCGCTGTGGCATATTTTCGACAAATTTCATCAAGTCTGGTGGTCGCCATCACCATCCGCAGCCCTCAGGTCGTCACTTGTAGCTACCAGCTGTTGCAAAGACTCGTCGACTGGGTGACAGTCTGCTTAGCAAAGAGCAGCAGCATGCGCGGAACTGCAAAACGATTTGGTGTGTATGTCCTGCTTGTGTCACCCGAGATGGTATCAGACTGACTTTTTGTAGGTGTTTCACTACCAACCCAGCCAACTACACGATTTTTTCGCAATGTGGCTGTCTGGGAGGTTATTTCTGCCTGCCCAGATTCGCCCACACTCACCACGTCACGAACGGTCTGCAGCCGATAAAGGGTCAAGGACAGAATGATCCGAGGCCTCCAAAAACGACATTCTTTCTTCCTTTGCAGGCGGAGATACCAACACTACTTCTCCTCTTACCTATGGGCCCGCCACTGCCCACGGGGTCAGCGAGCACCATTGCTACCATGGAGATGGTTATGGTCCGGAGGGACGTGGCCATATTTATACGATGGCTTGAGGGGGTTCGGTCGCGAATCCCCTCAAGATATTTCGGCCCAGATACGTCATCAAGAGAAAGCTCGAGATCATCATGAAGACGCAGTTCGAGGGTCTCCAGGAAAAGCGACATCGCTTCTTTTTGGGGCCAGAGAAGAACAGGGCCCGAGACCTTGTCGAATGGCTCAACGCCCTTTCCGACCGGCCTCTGGAGCCACCTCGACCGGCAATGCCCACACTCGCGCGGCTCGGCCTACCTAGTTCAAGGACAACTGGGTCAGGATATTTTGCTCAAAACGACTTAAGACTGTCGCACTTTCTACGAATATTTATTGTTTTTGCCTTCATCGCCTCGCCCATGTGCTCGATGACCACAGTCTGCCTCTGCCAGGCGATTTCAATCACTGAGACGAAGAATCTCGAAACATGTTCAAAACTTCAGCCCGGAATGCAGGCACCAGCGTAATTCAAGGACAGCATGCACATGATGTGGTGGGAAACCCCTCACATGTGTTGCTGTGGATCCATCTTTTGCTCCAAGCATTATCATCACTATCCGCTCCACAGCCCACTTCAAATGATCTCCAAAGACAGGCTGGCCTTGGCTCAAGGATAGTTCCTCTTGTTCAAACAGAGGTGCTCGAAGAAGGGCAGCATGACTCAGGTATGTCAACTTCTCGCCGAAGGCCATCTCTCTTCAAATGACAGTAAAAGCTGACGTTCTTCCCGCTTGCAGAAAGATCAACCGGCGCAATTTCACCTGTGATCGCCTCTTGCGCAGAACGCGGCTGGACCTTTACGTCGAAGAAACGCCGCGGCTTTCCCGGTCCCGGGCGTGGATTGCATCTACATCAACCCTCGTACTGACGAGATCTCTCTTGGCTAAGTCTCGCGTGCATCATCATCAGACGGATGATTCCGAAGACGACTTCGATGGTCTCTTCAATGCCAAGGTCAAGAACATTTATATTTCTTGGGAGTCATTGAGAGGTCTTCGAAGGCCTCTTCAAATGGGGAATTCGTCTCTCACGTGAGAAAGCCGCAAAACCATACATTGCTCTGCTACTCGAACACATCATGAAGGCCGAAGGAATGTAGCATGTTCGAATGGAGGATTAAGCATCGTGGAGGAGAATGAGCTGGACCTATGACCTGCACTGGTAGAAACATCTGGGGATCACGCAGATTCACGGTGGGGTTTCGACAGTAGCGAACCACAAATGGTGGCAACGAATCAGGAGACTAGAAGTACAAACTGAGAGCAAGAATCGCATTTGAGGACTTCAAAGAATCATCATTGCAGACCATCTGTGAATATATGGGCAATGACTGGGTGACAACATGTATTCACGCATTGCAAAGGCTTTTGCGAGATGAGTGATTCGATGGTGTGGGCAAGTTACATGGTTGATCATTGAAGCTTTTGTTATTTTACAGTCGCAACTTGGTATCTTGGCTAGCAGGGTACTATATATGTACAGCGATGCGTGTGTGAAGACGTGGTATAAAGTACAAGAAAAAACCTTTCCCTTCCGGAGGCAAACGAGCTCAGCTCTTGAAGTGACCTAGCACATTTACTGTCCAAAGGTGAACTCGGGGATATCAATGGTGGTGACGGTCCAGGTCTTGCCGCCGTCGCTGGTGGACATGTCGCCGGTGACGCCGTTGCCCTTGCCCATGGTGTTGATGTAGTTGGCGTCGGCCTTGTCGAGGATGATCTTGGTGTTGATCCAGGCTGTTGGAGGTCATTGTCAGCACACTGATTCGGTGTTTGGGAGAAATGGAAATTATAGTGGATGTGAACTTACAGTGAGCACCGACGGTGCCGCAGTCCTCGGCGGCGCACTCAACGGCGCTGCCCCAGCCCTGGGCCTCACCGTCCTTGGTGGACAGGGTGGCGACGACCTTGTCGTTGATGGAGACGGTCTGGGTGTAGTTCTGGGAGGCATCATCGAACTTGTCTGTAGGTTGATTTTCCGTTAGCAACAAGCCACAACCTCATCAACCTCAAGAGAGCAGCTTACAGTGCATGGTGATCTTGTCACCCTCAGAGGCGTCAGTGCCCTCGGTCTGAACAGGCATCTGGGAGTTGGCACCGGTGCTGAGAAGGGTGTAGGCGAAGATGGACCACTTGTCGGTGCCGGTGTTGTCGTAGTTGGAGTTGTCGGCGATGGACTGGATCAGGTCGCCGTTGGAGGTGCCCATGCCAACCCAGAGGGAGGCGCTGCCTTTGTTGTTGGAAGGGGCGGCGGGGAGGACGAGGGTGGAGGTGGCTTCGCGGATGAAGGAGTCGGAGGCGACGGGACCGGTGCTGAAGGCCGGGCCCATGGCGGCCTGGACGCCGGCGACGGCCGTGACGGCCAGGGCGGAGAGCATCTGGGTGGTGGAAGGCATCTTGGCGGTGATAGTGGATGAAAGTTAGAAGTGAATGTTGGTAGTTGGTGAAGTGAAAAGAATGACTGTTTGTGAATTGAAATGGGCTGCGAACGGCTGATCGAATGCCGAGAGAGGCTAATCATCTTTCTTTATATACAAGCTTCAGTGATGATGTACCCACGCTGCCTTATTGGTGGAATCATCCAAACTAACAGTTGCCATAACGGTTCATATAATCTCGAAATGGGTTTTCTCGCCTCTGGATCCAGCAATGTTTCAACGATACAGCTTTTTAGTGGGTTT